GGGGGGGGGCGGTGACAGTTACTCGTGTGACAAGCACGTATGCGAATGACGTCAGAGGGCTATACGTCCACAGAACGTCCACGTCCGCGATGCAATGATTAATTTTGACACCCCTAATGTAGACCTCATCATCCTCAATAATGTTAACCATTCTACCCTAACTTCCCCACGACTGCTGTCAGACACAGAGATCTCTCATGTTGTCAGGCACACTAATGCTCCGTCCTCTCTTAAGAGGCCTTTAAAAAAGCCAAGTGTGATGCTGACACACGGCACAGTGAAAAAAAAGCCTAAAAGGCCTGTTCCTGGCAGCTCTGTCCAAATCAGCTGTTGATTACAGAGAAAACTGGCAATTCACTGGTGGCTTCTGTCACAACGCAGACACTTGGTGTCTGCAAGAGTCTTTTCTGTGGGAGGAAACAGCACTCGGTGTCGTGATCTTTTGTTCAGTTCTCTGGCCGTGCAGTGCCTGTGACTTGAAGTTGTTTTGCATTTTAAAAGTAGAAACATTTTAACGGCTTTATTTTCAGCCCAAGTGGCAGAATATCCCTTTGCATTCGCAGGTCATCCAGGCTGAATTCACCTTTCCTCACAGGATGGTCTTATCTGATCAGTAACCCTTTGTTATCTTACCTGGATCACACCTGTCCCTTTGTTCTGCAATGGAAAGCCGGGGGAGTAAATGACTTCTAACAGATTCTTCAGGTAAGCAGACCTGCCGGAGCCAGTGTGGGCCTTCACACCCAAAGGTTAACACTCACACGAAGCCAAAATCCTCCACAGTACTGCTCTTCGGTTAGACTATCAGGGAGCACATGGTCATTGTCCCAATAAAACGCCCTATCTCCATTTTCCATCTCAAATGCAAACTTTACCTATTGTAAAATTTCACTCATACTTAACCAGAGCTCTGTATAACACAATCTCCCTCTCTCATGAAAGGGTGTTATTAAGATAAAATAATATGTTAAAAGATTATAAAGTGACACTGGCATTATTTAAATAGTGAGAGATAAGAGTACAATGGTGCCTCACACCGTGTCCTATCCAAGTGCAAAGTTTGCAGTGACACGTAATTTGTCTGTCCACACTGAAAGCAAAAATGCTACGTGGCACAATAATAGCCCATTAGAACATATTTGATATTTAGTTTGCATCTGGTTAAGGTCTGGTTAGGGCACAGTGTTAAACCTGATTTCTTGCGACATGTCTTTTTTCTATTCTCTCTGAAGGCAAAGTGTTTGCTCAACATGCCACAATTACTCGCAATGGTAACGTGTTTAATGTGCAGCTATTTAAATTTTTGGACCAATCAGAATTTGCTGTGGGCGGGGCAAATCAGTGTTGTAGAATTGGCCCACTTTCAATTTATTACTTGAAGTTTAAAATGAATTGGTCACATGGCACAGGAAGTTAAATTTCTATCTATCTATCTATCTGTCTATCTGTCTGTCTGTCCGTCCGTCCGTCCGTCCGTCTGTCTGTCAGCAAGGCCTATAAACCTGCAAACTGCAAGACTTTTAAAACTTTTTGTTGTTAAATTAGTTAAATGAATTTAATTCAGTGTTACTTAATTTTATTTATATGTCCATGCATTTCAAAACTGTTCTGCAACATGCTTGGTATTATGATTCAACACATGAATTGAAATGAAAAGTGATATCTTGGATCATTTTTAAATGAGTCGTTTCTATTGACAACAGCCTGTATATGCCGTCAATATAACTTCTAGTCAAATTTTAGCCAAAATAAACAATTGCTCACAAAACACCACAATTAAGAGCACTTGTGCTGCTGACTTGTATGGAAAACATACATCTCTCTTTGACCTTTACTGCTGTGCCTGAGGCCACACAGCAGCATCAGCCACCTGCAGTGTGTGTGTGTGTGTGTGTGTGTGTGTGTGTGTGTGTGTGTGTGATCCCTGTGCACCTATTCATGTGTGACCTGATACAAACCTAGAGTGTGTACTTCCTGCAGCCCTGTTACTATGGTGACCACTCTGCCTTTTGCCCTTTGAACTTTTAGAGTGTCCTAAATAGGCCTTTGTTCATTTTGGGATTATTTTCTCATCTAGTGGCATCAGCCACCTGCAGCGTGTGTGTGTGTGTGTGATACCTGTGACCCTAAACCCGACTCCCTATTTCTCAATCTCATCAGATCACATCAGCAGCTCTTTTTTTCAGCTTGATATCTATTTGCCCTTGCCCTCCTCCATGCTCTCCATCATCACGTTGCCCTCGCGCTCTCAGTCTCTCTTCCTCCCTCTCTCTCTCTCTTTTTCTCTCCCTCCCTCATTCTGTTTGTGTCCTCTGACCACCTGACACCTTTTCAGATCCTGTTGGCAGACAGCACACGTTTCACCTGGCAGCGGAATTCAGTGATCCAGCCCTATCGATGGTAGATAAATCAATGTTATCTCTTTTTCCCATGCCTCTGTTTCCATCGATTTCTCTCTGTTACCTTGCAGTTTGTGAAGACTCGAACCTCGCTCAATTAAACTGCCTTACTTCGCCAAACGAACAAACTGAAACATAAGGCTGAGGACAAGATGAGGGAAAGATCAAGGAAGAGGGTAAAAGAAGGTTGCTTCAGTTCAGATTTAATTCCTCAATGCAGCAGAAATGTCAAGTGAGCAGTTTTTCCAAATCACAGATGGGACATTTTGCAATTGTGCATCTCAGAAGCTGGTGAGTCATATAAATGCTATTTACTGAGACAACCTTCCTGTATAGTAAAATCTCATCAATCAGAGAGCAGAGAGTTGTAGGTTTATTTCACCCATACACATGCACTGATATTTTCCTTAACCACAAATAATAGATAATAAAAGAGACCAGGGCTAGTTGTCACACTTTTTAATCTGCACTGAATATAAGTTTAGTTCTGTACTCCCTAGTGAAACACTTAGCACTAACATGCTAAGTATACTACAAATGCATTTACATATTTATGTACTTAATAAAAATGCCCTGCAATTGTATTATTGGTATACTACACTGGTATACTTAAGGTCTGCTAAAGTGGAACAACTATACTTTTTGCACTTTTATTGTGTGGAAGTAGTGCTGAAGTCCAACTAAAGATATACTGAAGTATATTTGATTGTGCTAAAGTGGAACTATTGCAAGTATACGTCAGGTACACTTGAAATATCTTGCATTTAAAGATCAATATTATTCAAAGATCATACCGTCCTCATCAATAATGACGTTAAAACACATTTTAGGCTTTAGTTTGGAAAGTAAAAAGACAACACACATATTGACAAGTAGTGAGGCATGTTGTCTTAGTGGAACCTGACAAAGGAAAGGTTCACCAAAAATGAAAATTTGCTAAAATGTACTCACCCTTAGGCCATCCAAGATGTAGATGAGCTTCTTTCTTCATCAGAACAGATTTGCAGAAATTCTGCATTACATCACTTGCTCACCAATATATCCTCTGCAGTGAATGGGTGCCGTCAGAATGAGAGTCCAAACAGCTGATAAAAACATCACAATAATCCACTAGTAATCCACACGACTAGCAGTCTATCGACTGACGTCTTGTGAAGTGAAAAGCTGTTTGTAAGAAACAAATCTATTATTAAAGTGTTTTAACGTTAAAACTTTATCCATAATAATGCTTCCTCCAGTTAAAAAAAAGTCTATCCCCTGTTGTCATCTCACATCAAAATCCACCTAGAACTGTTTTGGACTGTTCTCACTTGTTGATCTGTGCATATTTCTCTTCAGACCAGATGACTTTTTCCACTGGAGAAATCAATATTATGGATAGAAGACTCATATTTTAAAGCAACGATTTGAAGTTAAAAACATATTAATGATGGATTTGCTTATTACAAAAACACAGCTTTGCACTTCACTAGACATCAATTGATGTATTGGAGTCATGTTGTAGATTGTTGTGATGGTTTCATCTCATTCTGACGGCACCCATTCACAGGGGATCCATTGGTGAGCAAGTGATGTAATGCTACATTTCTCCAAATCTGTCCTGATGAAGAAACAAAGTCATCTACATTTTGGGTGGCCTGAAAGTGAGTATATTTTCAGCAAATGTTTCATTTATTGGGTGAACTATTCCTTTAAACAGGCTTTTTAAGCAAAACTGAAACAGCAAAACAATCACTAAACTTGAAACAACAAAGATGGAAAATGGTACAGTACAAAAATAGCAAACCATTTTTTGGCAAACAATAATCAGTAATCAATAAATTGTATTAAATTACTATATGAAACAACTTTCCCTACTTATGAACTTCTGACAACTAGCCCAAATATCCTCCATTAGTGCAAATCATATGATTTGTCTAACAATGAGCTTTGGGTGTATTCGGTGTATTCAAGCATTTTAACTGACACAACAATCAGTTTTTGTAAAGGCTAGAAAATAAACAGTTTTTAAGCATTTTGGTTGTTTTCAAGAGTGAAGTTTCACTGAAGAAAGCAAACCCCTTTTCTTTTTATGTTCTCGTTAAAACTCAGCCTTTTAGCAACCCCCATATCAATATTACTATTCACTGATTCAAAACTAAAAGATTTTCACACTGACCTGACACGGATGTCTGCTGGGCTGATCTGAGATGTGAAAGGCATGAGAAGGCATTAGTCAGAGCTGCAGCCTGCTGTCAGAATTCTTCCTTAGGCCATCAGCTTCTCCCCATAAGATCACCCTATAGGATCTAGCCTTCTCTGATGTTTTCAATGTCAAACAGTCAGAATTACTGAAGCTTAAGAAGAGGTTAAATTGCTTTGGAAGAGATAGACGGCCTACTCTTTTATGGAATAGAATAGAATAGAATAGCTTCTTTGAGTTTTTAGTGTGTATGATTAAAACTAAACCAGTGTGTCTAATGTTGTCTTTCAATCCCACTCTTTCCTTCCTGCTAACCATGCAATCTCATCTCTCTGAGGACAACCCATCGGTAATCAATTGAGCTCCATCTATGACATGCGTGTGGGAGAGCATTTTATCTGTTGATTTCATAAGCAGATGACTCGACTAACATTCCGCACGTGTTTGCTCAAGTTTGATTAGAGTGGACGCAATTTGCAATAAAGATTGAACGCGAGCAGTCTGGCTGCATGAGCGTGCATAGAAGCGATGAATTATGTATGTGCGAGACAAAACAACTGTGTCAAATGTCATATTACACTGGATAATTTCCCACTGGCAGAAAAGCAGCATTTTAAACTGAGAAAAGGCTGCAAGCGTGTAAGTCACAGAGTTACAGAAAACTGCATAAATCATATTCAACTCAGCTAATGACCAAACTTGCAACCAATCACCATATTATTATGTGATTTGATTACTTTTTTAGTAGCTTCACAATATTAAAAGGAAGGTCGACGACATAGCAAGTAAAATAATACAACCTTAATGGATTGAAGGTTTACGAGTTTAAGGATATTTACAAGGATGTGGATCTTCTGTATGTACAGTGTTGGCAAATTACTAAATTATGTAATTTAATTACAAAATAAATGTAATTGTAATCAGTTACAGTTACTGAGAAAAAAATGTGTAGGCCTAGTTAAATTACAGTTACTTATGAAAAAGTATTTGGTCCGAGTTGCGTTCATATATAATTCGAACTGCACCAGAGTTCGTTTGGAAGCGGACTGAGACCCATCTTTTTAGCGGTCTTGGTCCGCTTGTTTGGTGCGCACCAGGGTTCGGATGGCAGGTTTGCCCTCTGCTCATTTTGTTTGGTTACACCGCGTCATCAAATCATGTCGCATAGCGTCACATCTTGTCATTACTTCCTGTTTTTGGTTCATTTAAAAGTATTTGGTCCGAGTTGCGTTCATATATAATTCGAACTGCACCAGAGTTCGTTTGGAAGCGGACTGAGACCCATCTTTTTAGCGGTCTTGGTCCGCTTGTTTGGTGCGCACCAGGGTTCAGATGGCAGCGTTCACACTTACTTAAACGAACCGCACTAACAGAGCAATCGCACCAGGGTTAGTTTTAATCGAACCAAACATGACAAGTGTGAACGCACCCAAAATCTTTAGATGTTGCTGTATTGTTCTTGAACAATCAATATCTGATGCAAAACAGCCTCTACTTAGGCATATTATTAATTCATTCTTAAAAGTAGCTCAAGTAGTTTAACGTAGCAAAATAAGTAGCTGATAAAAAAAAAACCCGTTATATTTAGACTAGCGCGAGCATGCATATTGATTGTCTGTCAGTCAGGAAAGAGAGTTTTATTCTCCCCCCATACATCACAATTTGAGTCTCGCGAGGCCCCCGTAATTTCTCCGCTGCTCTGACTAATGCGATTGGCCCCCTGCTCCACGGTGGACGTTCCACTCTGCAAGTCATCACTCCAGAGGCTTAGGGCTCTGGCTCTTAGCTCGGCTCCAGCATGTGGCCTTCCTCAGGGCCTGGCAGCCTCATTACCCCAGCAGAGTCCCTCACTCTGAGGGCTGCGACTCCCTCCACCCGTGGAGACAGCACCTGTCAAGGAGCATGCTCACCACTCTATTGAATAAAACATTCAGTGATGTACGAGTGGAAAGGTTCACCTCCGGGGGCCAGAGTTGCCTCATTTCCTACTCCTGCTGCACATCCGTGACCCGCTGAGCAAATTGGCCCGGTATTAGCTCTGTGGCTCGAGCTCACCTAAACAAATAGAGCTTCCAGCATAATGCTAATCTCAACTGAGCTATGCGTGCGTGGGGGAGAGGGGGAAATAGCTGGTGGTGATATGGTACGGTCTAATATTTAGGTCACTGAATGGCCTTAGCATTGTTTCTCATTTTTCATAGCTTATTGAATTTTTCCTTTTTGTCACTTTCTCGTTTTTGTTGACTTTTTCCACATCTGACTCGATCTAGGGATGTTCATTTCGGTTTATATTTCCTAACCGACAACCGACGCTCGTTAACCGATTATTAACCGTTAACCGACAAGATTATTTTAAATTCGAATTTAATTAAATTAGAAAGGATACGTGTCTGTGACCCGTTAAAAAATACTAACATTTGTTTCCCGGGGATTAATTTTATATACGCAAAAATCATATCACATCACGCACCTGCAGCGCTTCTGCGAGCAGAGAAAAACATAGTAAAGCTAGGCTATAGGCCTATATATATAACGATAAATAGGCCTATACGAGAAATATATTTTTACTTAAATAATAAATTAAGAAAACGAAAGAAAAACTGTGC